GGCGTTCGCTCATTCACAGCGGCTTCTTCAGTCATACCCTGAGCGCAGCTGCGGAGCGGCGCGCGTACAGCGGTAACCCAGCACTCTGTTTACAACGCCTGAGCAGCTGAAGATATTCCATCGCCCACAGAGGTATCTCTGGGCGCAGTCAATCCCGAGCACAAGTGAGGAAGAGCCGCGAAGCCCCAGATTACGCTCCCGTTTTGTGTAACCTCTCATATACAAACTGCAATAAAAAGCCTGTGCGGGCGGGCGGGACGTGCCGTAGGGAGAAAGGTGCTTGTCCTTTATACAGGAACTCAACCGAAACCTTCCTCCTGCTCCCCTGCGCCCTGGGTTTCATCCCCTCAGGTTGAAAATACAGTCCGCTGGAAGATTATCCCCTTGGCCTCAAGCCCGGCGCTCCTGCGAAATGCAGGCGCCAGCAGTGCGACGCACCACCACGAAAAACACCCCGTTTGGGTAGCATTACGGGCCGTTTTCTAGCCAGGAGGAGTCATAGCGATGCCACAGGCTGGTGTGGACAAGAGGGCCAGGACATGTTGGGTACCACAGAGGAACAAAAGACTGCAAGGGCACACCAACCCAAAATGTCTGGTTCTTCATTTCTCTCTGCCAGAGAGGGTGACTTCCCAGCAATGAATGCCACCACTACACCAGTTGGAAGGGGGAAGCTTTTTTTTTTTCTTTTCTTTTTTCCCCCTCTACATCAGAACTTTCACTTCTTGATACTTCAGCAGTCCTCACACAGGTGTGAGATCCCACTTCATCTCCTTTTAACAGCTTCCGTTCTTGTGTTCAGCCAAGCAAATTGCTCCCTTCCCTGCTAGGCAGGGCAAAGCAGCACACTGGGATGCCTTCGTTTCCCTGTCGAAGCCCTGTTCCTCTCACCAGCCCTTCACGGCAGAGGAAGAGGTGGAGGTTTTTCTTCTGCTTTTCTTGTTTATGTAACGTTGGGCAGAGGAGCCTCAAGCTTTAAGGAAGGCTGGTCCTGTTTCACAAATGCAGATGGATGAAACGCAAGGAAGCTAAAACGCGTGAATCAGCGTATGAAGTCCTGGAGATCTGGGGTTTGTGGCCCTGCTGACTCACGCAGCCGGTCCTCTCCTCCCTGTTCTTTCCATACAGTCTGTATTAGTCTGGTGCTAATGTCAGTACCAGATGTTTACACCATGAGTTTTATTTTCTTTCTTTTTCTAACTGCAACTTTGGCTCTCTCTTTCCTCCTTGCCTGAGCAAGTTGGCTAGACATGGTCTTCTTAGGTCTAAGGAGCTGAGTTGGCCTGAGGAGGGAAGAGGAAAGGCCCTCAGGAGAAAATGGCCTTCTTGGGACAAAGTCCCTCCTGACAGCACCATGACACTGGAGAAGGTTTGTCTCATGGACCTGCCATGCCCCGGCCAGGCTGTGCGGGCTGCCCGGCTGCGCCCGGCGCCTGCCACCAGCGTGAGGCCGGGAGGGGAGGCTCACCCCTCGCCCAGGCGCTTGGGAGATGGCGAAAGCAAACCCAGGTTCAGAGGACGTGCGTACCCCACAGTGAGCCAGGCGGCTCTTCCAGCAGGCCAAACCTCTGCCGTGGGAAGAGGGATTTCACCCACGCACAAACTCCCACCGATTCCACTGTGTCCTTCCCCAGACCTGGGAACGCTTCCAGCAGCTCTCACCGCCGGGAGCCAGCACCGTAGAGGTCTATTGGACCTCATCACGCTCACCTGGAAGGGGAAATAACTCACCTGTAGTTATACTGGAAAAGCTTTTGATAGATGGCGTGGGGTAGGGAGAAACAGGTTGCCATCAGCCAAATAACAGAGATGCTCAGCGCTCCCTTCGTTAGTGACATCCTCTGCTTCAGCGGGTTCAGGATGACCTGCAAACAGAGACTTCACCATGACTCTTATCACACGGGAAAGCAAAGTCTCTTCACCAAGGCACACGGCAGAGGCATTTTTTGACATGATCTAATGCTGTTAAGAAAATGACAGCTGTGATTAGGAAAACGTCCTGCTTATTAGAGTGACCTGGAAAATGGGAAACATTGAACTTTCCAGTCTGCTCAGAAGTGCTTTCAAATAAACCTTTTCCACTGTGTTGTTCTGTGAGGACCATTGTCCCTAAATTGTGGGTTACATTAGGTAGGAAAAAAAGAAGACATCGACACAAGTCTCTTAACTTATGGGTTTGCTTGTTTATTCTATACGAAGTGTCTATAAGAAATGTCCCCTGAACTTATAGCTGAACTTATGAAGCTGAGCCCTCCCGCTCTCTCTTGAGGAATTAACTCACCCTTTACGAAATTTTCTTTGTTAGATGTAAAGGTAAAGAGCTTACAAAATCTGAGAGTCTGGAAGATGCTATTTGACTGATAGCACAGGAAAGGAGAGTGATTGCTCGAGATAAGCACACGGCCTGGGCTGCCCTCTCTTTCCTGCACGGGTAATGCAGCGAGCGTTTATCCCGGCGGGCGGCTGACGCAGCCTGGCTGCAGGCAGATGGTGGGTACTGTCTTCTCACAGCTCCGGAGTCTCCCCCCAGCATTTCCAACAGAGATTTCCCACTCTGCCGCTCCCCTTCATACCGGTCCAGCATTAGTCCCATAGCAATACCACGGGACCTTAGTCTCAGAATTTCTTTTTACTCCAACTGTCCCTGCACTTGATGATGCAGCAAATGCCCAATGGGAAAAGAAGAGCAAAAGAACAAACAGGCAACTAAATCAGAATTTACACCCAGGGTGCTACAGACTGGTGTTCTATGCGTTTGGGGTGGTAAACTAAAGAGGTTGGAGGAGTTCCCTGTACAGCTGAAGTAACACTTTGCACCCAGCGGTGGCTCTGCTGTCTTTCAAGGCCCTCCATGTAAAACAAAGACTCTTGATTCAACTTGCCCTGCCATACCTGGGGGCTAGGTTGGACCTGGCTCTTTTCAAACTACTTGAAAAAGGTGTCCTCACCCTTTAGCACTGAAAGTTTGGGAGTGTCCTGTGAAACCTGTGATGCTGCATTTTGCTGCTTCCCTCCTCCCCCATACCTGGGAACCTACAAAAGCCCAACAAGACTTCCTACTCCAACATATGCGGGGCATCTTCGAATTTAGCTCTAGAGCCTTCTCACTGGATGTGGGCTTAACCCCCAAGATTCAGCCACCTTGAACCCATGGCTTAACCAAGACTGACAGGGGCTTGGGAAGAGCCTTGCAAGGGAGCGGCAGATGGGTGGCATTTTACCTGGTGCCTGTCCAGGGCGATGGCCGTCAGGGTCAGCGTGGAGACGTGGAGGGAGCAGTACTGCACGAAGCGGCTGATGTGGCACATGGCCTTTCCAAAGACCCACGTGCTGTTCACAAACCGAACCTGAGGGGAAAACAACAGGCCATCAGCCAGCAAATGTACTCAGAAGAAATCCACAGGGACACCCTTTGGATTGCACCTGAGCTAGCACATGCTTTTTGGCTGGCTGGCTGGGCAGCTCCACCTGAAACCCGAAGAAAGATTAGCTACGCTGGATCTTGAAACACCTTTACATAAGAGTTTATAATAAGGTCAAAACCCACAGATTAAATAAGTTGTGCTGTTGCAGCCCTCCTGGCCTATTTGTATAAACACCATTTGTGAACACTTGTAATATTTTATTACATTAACAACTGTATTTGGAAAAAGTGGACCAAGTTTTGGTCCCCTTCAGGGTCTGGAGAGCTTTCATTTTACCCAACTGGCAGATCTGCAAAGCTTGAACTACTTTCTTCCAGTCACCCTAGTATGACTGGCATTTGAGTTGTGTGACTCTCTAGTGCTCTCCTGTGTGTACATTAGAAGACTTATCCTGCATTCCCCAAGAAGCTCTTGCTGTGGTTTGGCAGCATACTTGGAGAGACCTGAGAGTCTTTTAGGAGATACAGAGTCTAACGGAGCAAAGGGAGCCCACAGGTTCCTGAACAGTGTTTTACTTGCCTGGCATAGTTGTCTATTAGACTTGATTGTGTTGAGTTGGCGCCTCAGTCCTAGAAGAGCATGCACAGAGAAGGTGTGACCACCAAGCAAAGCATTCTTGTGAGAGACTCCCCTCCTGGCTGAAGGGACAGCACAGTGGGCCACTTACCAGGGTAAAAGGCGTGTTGAGCAGTGTGATCATAATGTCAGACACCGCCAGGTTGACAATGAAAAGGCTGGTGGCCGAGTGCATCCTCTTGTTCTTCAGCACCACATGGCACACCAGCACGTTTCCAAAGAGAGACATGACGATTATGACTGAGTACGCCACGATTAGGAGAGCTTTCACTGTTGGTTTCTGGGATTCCGGCTCATATTTAGCCAGCTCGGCAAATTTCTCCCACTCAACAATGCGGCTGTCTGTCCAGTTGAAGGTGGTCCTGTTGGTTGCTTGGTAGATTGACATGAGCTTGGCCAAGGAAGAGTAACGGTCAAACTCCTCAAGAAACTCCACCACCTGTGACCTGTATGACTGAAGCAGCAAGCGAGGCATGGTGGGTTAACCTGAGTCTTCACTCAGCTCGAGGCCGCTGAGATCACAGCTCCAGCTGGCACAGGGAGTGATCCATCAGCTTCAACTGCTTGGTTCTCTAGGAAGCCGGTGAAGATGCAGCTGCCATTACAAACACCACCTTAAAACACAAAGCTGGAAGGAGCCTCTAAGGTAGATGGGTTCCCCAGGGGCAGAGGTGGCACTGGGGAGCAGTTCCAATGGGCACATTGCAAAGAGACTGGTTTGGGACCAAATGCTTTCAACCCCTTCATATATCAAGAAGAGCAATAGTTCCACAGGCGGGCTGGAAAGAAGAACTCGTTATTACATGTAGCAAATATAGGAAAACTTCAGGTGAGATTTGAAGTTGTTCTAATCCCACATCAACTTTTTCTTCCTTGTTCTCACCTGAGTCCATTTATCCTCCGAGTTCCACAGGAGGCTGCACTGTTGGTGCTTTCATCCTCTACTTCAAAATACCAAGTTCTTTTCTGTTGAAACAGAAAGGCAGAGCCATTTGGGCATAATTTGTAAGAGCACAGGTAGCTTTTGCCTGCATCTAACTCCAGCAATTATCCTAAAGCAATGCAGAACCTAGAAATCAGGTCCCTCAGGGGTCCGTATTGGGACCAGTACTCTTTAATATCTTCGTCAATGACATAGTGGGATCAAGTGCACCCTCAGCAAAGTTGCAGATGACACCAAGCTGAGTGGTGCGGTTGACACACCTGAGTGACGCGATGTCATCCAGAGGGACCTGGACAAGCTCAAGGAATGTGCCTGTGTGAACCTCATGAGGTTAATCAGGTTCAACCCAAGTTGCATCTGGGTTGGGGCAACCAACCAGTACAGGCTGGGGGATGAAGAGATCAAGAGCAGCCCTGTCGAGAAGGACCTGGGGGTACTGGTGGGTGAAAAGCTGGACATGAGCCGGCAATGTGTGCTCATAGCCCAGAAGGCCAACCATCTCCTGGGCTGCACCCAAAGCAGTGTGGCCAGCAGGTCGAGGGAGGGGATTCTGCCCCTCTGTCCCACTCTGGGGAGACCCCCCTGCAGTGCTGCGTCCAGCTCTGGAGCCCTCGGCACAGGAGAGGCATGGACCTGCTGGAGCGGGGCCAGAGGAGGCCCCAGCAATGCTCCAAAGGCTGGAACAGCTCTGCTGGGAGGACAGGCTGGGAGAGCTGGGGGGGCTCAGCCTGGAGCAGAGAAGGCTCCAGGGAGACCTTATTGCAGCTGCCAGGGCTTAAAGAGGGCTTACAAGAAAGATGGGAACAGACTTTTTAGCAGGGCCTGTAGTGATAGGGTGAGTGTTAATGGTTTTAAACTAAAAGAGGGCAGATTTTGACTAGATAGAAGGAAGAAATTTTTTATGTTGAGGGTGGTGAAACCCTAACCCAGGTTGCCCAAACAGGTGGTTGATGCCCCATCCCTGGAAACATCCCAGGCCAGGTTGGACGGGGCTCTGAGCAACCTGCTCTGGTTGCAGATGTCCCTGCTCACTGCAGGGGGGTAGGACTAGATGGCCTTAAAGGTCCCTTCCAACCCAAACTATTCTGTGATTCTATGAAATCACATCAGAAGTTGCGTTTAGTCTACCTCATATCTTCTCCTCCAAACAACAACCGAATTCTGCTTCCAGTGTTTCAGTTTCAGTGAGAAAAGAGTCTTTCCTGCAAAAGGCGAGACTTAGCAGCAAAGAGGCGTGAACTCACAGAGGAGCCACTGACACTGTATGCAAACCAACACACAGCACAAGACACCCAAGAACCATTCCCTAGAGACAAAAATCTCTGCTTCCTCACACTTACCGATACCCACTTTTAGATATTACTGAATAGATTTTTTAGATTGCATTGATCTATTGATGTTAGGCAGAACCTATGAACTATGCACACTGGCATTTACAGACATGCTACATATGGGAGGAGACGGTCGTCCAGAAGCTCTGTCGGGTTCTCCGAGAGGGTGGCTGGTGTGTTTGGTACGTGCCATTCCCGTCAAGCCCCGTGGCTGTGTGCACGAATCGATGGACCTCACACAGTGCGAGGGATCGATGAGCAGAGCTTTCAGAGCGCTAAAAGGCTCCCTGATACCTTGGTACACAGCAGGCCGGCAGGCTGCCCGGGGCAGGCAGCTCGCTGCGAGGCAGGCGGTGGCCTGGAGCAGGCATCCAGCAGACCCCAAACCAACACGCCGCCCAGTCATGCCGGGGGCCTCGGCGGCAAACTCCATCAGGCAAGAGTCAGCAAGCGACTGTTTTCTGTCAGAAATAAGGTGAGGGGACTGAGTGTGTCTGTGCCCATGCCTCCCAGAATACAGCCTGCTTTGGCTCGTCTGCTTACTCTGGGGGGTGTCGGAGTACCGGCGGACCTACGAGAGGAGCCTCTCAAAAGCAAGTGCGTGTTAAAGCAACTTGGTGGGGTGGAAGGAGAGAGGAATCATCCAGGAGACAGAGCGAAGAACACATGTTGAGAAGAGGCTGTGGCTGTTTCCCAGGCAAATTTACGAGTGAAAGAAGCCCGGGTAGGATAGAGAGCATGACACACGCTCGTGGATTCTGCTGGAGCAATGCAGCTGTAATGCAGCAGGCAATTCAGCTTCTTGTTGTTCTCCCAGTGCTGACGGTATTGGGAGCATCAGGACCAGCCCTAGACCAGGTCCCAATCCGGCTCTCTCACAAGACATGAACCTGCGGAGCTGCCATGAAAGAGAGAGCAGAGCTGAAACCAGAGAAAGGGATCACTCACCTTGTTTGAAAAAGATGGTTGGCACACAGGACTCATTGCAGCGAAACATGTCTGAGACTAGGAGCTTGGCACGAGTCAGGAAGGACTTAATGCCTACACAGGTAACGAGAGAATGCAGAACTACATCTCTCCGGGCTTCTGGGGCGGGAGGGCAGACAGGCTCTCCACTCAGGGCCTTACAGCACCTACGAGGTTTTTTCCATGCCTGGGCAAGGCACGCAGGACTCCACACCTCCTTATTGTCCACTGTGGTATATACCAAGGATGTAATTCTTTACGGTGCTCTCAGCGGGCGGTGAGAGGAACCTAAGGGTAATGCAACATGTGTGTAACAAAAAACCCATTATTTTAGCCAGTTGCAGCTGAACCACTTTGATCTTTGAAAAAGCACAGCTGGGATATTCGTGCTACACTGAAACACCATCACCAGCTTGAGAGAGGATGCTGTGGTGTGACAGATGAAACCACCTATGGCCTTCCCTGCATCAATTTTCATCAGGTTTTCAGGTGGGAACTTGTTTTTGCTGCCACAAGGTGAGGCTGACTTCCAAGAAACTGCTATAATGCATGGGTCAAATCAGATCTGCAGTCCATATGCTTCAGACCGGTGGATAGCAAGAAGAAACCTTGTACAGATTATTCAATTTAAAAAAAGCCAAGCAGGTTTTCTCAAGTGCCCATGTGTTTGAGAAGCCCACTTCTCAAGGACTACCTGTAGGACCTGCACTCTTGAGTAGCTCACGGTGATCGGGGAAGCATGGCCTTAAATCTGGATGATGAATGGGGACAACCCTTCTTCCTTACTACATGTAGCCATTTCTCTTGTGCCTATGTCCAGGTCCCTGTACCATCAAATCAAAAAGTTGATCCATCTGAAAATTAAATAAACAGTGTTTCCAGCTGGACTGGTTTCCTGACCTGACCACCTGCATGGCAGAACCTTGTTCTCTCCACAGAAGACGCTAGGAACAAATCATAGAACCATAGAATATCTCGAGGTGGAAGGGACCCAAAAGAATCACCGACTCCAACTCCCTGCTCCTCGCAGGACTACCTAACACTAAACCATATGACAGAGAACATCATCCAGACACTCCTTGAACTCCGACAGCCTGGGTGCCATGACCAGCTCCCTGGGGAGCCCAAGGAAGATGGAAGAGCTTAAGGCGATGGAGCTGTAACCTGGTTTTCTAACACGGAATTTCTCCTCAGGTCTTTCCGCACCCAGTAAAACATTACTGAGGTGCTGAAGCTCTTGGCACAGGCTGCTGCCTTGCACGAGACCACAGGTGCAGCAGAGAGGACTCTCCGCTTTCCTGCGGGAGCGTGTATTTAAATGCAGGTTATCCCGACGAGTTGAAATACGATGGTTGCACACACGAAGGGGGCTTAGCTTTCAGTTTTTATAACTTGATATAATCTGAAGGACCAGGGAGGAAGAGCCCACCGCAGTGCAGCTGTGCCGAGCTCGTCTAGCATCGGCGCCAAGCAGGTGGCCGAACGCTCCCCGCTGCTTCAGCAAGAGTTTCTTCCTGGTGCAGAGGCGCTACCCTTCCACCCCACCAGATTTGGAGCCCTTGCCCGCTCGCACAAAAGCCCGGCCCCGCCG